CCAGAGGGCAGCTATCCCCCTGGAGCAGAAAGCAGGGTGGAGAAATGTGGAAAGTGGATCTGGAGGGGCAAATGGCTTTGCAGGGTCAGCACTCAATATTCATTTGTTGAATTAGATTATTACTTCCACATGTATGCAGACAATTTCTAGTTTCTCTTTACTCATTTTTATTAGTTCTCAAGTAGCTATTATATATTAGTGTTTTCATTGACAGTTTTCCTGATACATGCAAGTTTAATTCTCTTCTTCCTCTCTGCTACAGAAATACATATAATAACATTAAAAAGACAATTGTCCTGAACCTAACTTCCCAATAATCAGTGTCTACTCTTGAAACTGTGATGAAAGCTGAGACTCTTCTGCCTTTCCATTCATTTTCACCCCCTCCATCCTGTGCACCCAAGTGTAACAAAATCATGGAAAGCTGACATAGAAAAGGCAGAACAATCCTCATGCTATGGGGATGGAGTGCAGTAGACTGAGGTGGAGATCACGGCACAAGGGAATGGGGTGGCACAGAACTTCCACTTGCAGGCATTTTGAATTCTTAGCATAAACTGGGAGTTAAGAAAGGAAGAAGCAGTGGCAGAGAGAAAGTCTGAAGAAGAGGCAACTTCCTGAAATTCAAAGTAGGGTCCAACTCTGAGAAACTGGCAATGGAGCAGGACAAGATCTGTGTATACAATAAGGAATAAGAAAATTTGTGCCTTCTGTTTAGTCTACTCCCCCACACGCATTCTAAAAGATTATATTACATTTTTGTTTAAGGCTACCCTTTTAGTGGGCAACTCTGATTTCAACAAACTTTGGCCCAAAATAACCTCCCTTCTCCTTACCAAGAACTGAAATTCCTATCGCAAGGAACAATCTCTCATTTCATAACTGAAGAAAAAAATCCAAAATGCAAATGCTTGGGTGCCTGGAACAACACACAGTGAATAAGGCTACATTTCCATTAGTGTAAATGAACAATACCATATCTTTTCCTTAGACAGAAAAAAAGGGAGCTAAAACACAAGAAAAGCCCATGGCTTCAGACGAAGAGCAGAGAGAGATTTCAACCTAGAGAAGAAAGGCTAAAGAAAGAAGAGAGTAGAGATGCCAATGACAAACTTTAACAACTCCACAATTTTGTCCAAAGGCAACTCTGCCCAGTTTGGGATATGTGTAGATGTCTAGAATCAATGCATGCTCAGATGTTGGGCTTAGGAGGAACTTTGGTCAAGAGGCATGTATGACAACTGTCAAAAATCTAGGGCCCATAACTGTCTCAAGGGTCCCTGGCACATACTAGGCATTCAATAAATATGCCTTGAGTGAATGCGTGATATAATTAGGGTTATGAGTCTTACAGACCACTATGGGCTAAAGTGGAGGAACAGCGGGGAGAAGAAGGAAAGGGAGAGAAGGAGCATTTATTGAGTGCCTACTATGTGCCAGGCACTATTACTTGTTTCTCATTCATTTTCCCAACATCTTTTGGAAGGTGTACAGATGAGGAAACTGAGACTCAAAAAGATAAGTAATTGTTACTGGAAAACAGTAAGCTGGAAAACAGTAAGCCAGGACTCAAACACAAATCTGTTTAACTCCCAAGTGTATGCACTACTCCACACAGACTCCCTGGAAAGGGACTAGCAGTTAGCTTGAAACACTACATGGAAGAAGCTGGGCTCAAGAGCATGAGAATGATATGAATATACAGGGTCAAAAGAAAACAAAGATTTTCTGTGAGAGGAGTGCCTGCAGTGTTTCAAAAAATGATCATTCATCATGGTTCAAAAGACAAAGTCATGAAATAATGGTCTTCTCTGTTTTTCCCTCTCACACATAGTTTTCTATCATATATAACCAACACCCTGGCATCAGGGTGGCTTCACTTGAGCATATGTGGCTCATCAATCACTAAACTAAAGGGCAGAGAGATTAAGTTGACCAAAAAAAACTATACTTTTTAAAAATACTGCTCATTAAAGATGATGTAATGTTACAGTGGTCTATACATATATAAAGCTCTATAAAAGTCTCCATAGTGCACCGACCTTGAGGCTATACTTTGACCTTAGACCTGTGCTATACTTGTGCGCAATGGCTTGTCCCTCTGGGTTTTGGCAGCACAGCAGTGCTGGAAGTGGCTGTGGGTCTCTCAAGACCTCAGGGGGAAGCAATGGTATTGTAGGGGGCTCAGAGAGTGTAGGGGGCCTCCTGATGGAGTTTATGGTGTTGGGATTGGGTTGGGTGCTGGCACAGAGTGGAGTAGCATGAGTGCTGGACCAAATGCTGTTGGCTCTGATGATGGTGGCCTTCTCTCAAGTAATGAGAGGGAAAACTTGCAGAATTGAAACAACTGCGTAGCTTCCTACCTTCACAAGGTACATCGCCTGGAAAATGCCAGTGCTGACCTTGAATTCAAAATAAAAAGATGGTACGAGAATTTTGGAAAAGGAAACTTTGATGGTCAACCTGAAGACTATAGCAAATATTACAACACTATCAAGGACCTTAAAACTCAGGTAAGTTGTCTTACATAGAAAACAGCTTTTTTCCTGGCCAACCTACATTATAGCAAATAAATTAACGCATTTAATGTAAAGAGAAAAATATCTAATATGCATAAAGATTAACAAAAAATGGCTTGACATTCATTTGAAAGAGGAGACTTTGACTTATTATTCTATATTTCAGAAGTTCAAAAAGAAAATACACTTCACTGAAAAGTTTCATAAGAATCCCAGAAAGATTTGAAATAACTGTTTACCTAGTTTATACAAATATAGCTACGACTGGCACACACTTATAATTATTGAAACCTATGAAGTATATAGTCTGGACCTAATAGCACCCAATATATTTTGCTGAATGATATGATTCCTTTTCCTCTCTCAAAGGTCAACACAGGGGCCGGCCCAGTGGCGCAAGCAGTTAAGTGTGCATGCTCCGCTGTGGCGGCCCAGGGTACACCAGTTCGGATCTCAGGCGCGCACCAGCGCACCGCTCGGCAAGCCATGCTGTGGCAGCAACCCATACAAAGTGGAGGAAGATGGGCACGGATGTTAGCCCTGGGTCAGTCTTCCTCAGCAAAAAAAGAGGTGGATGTTAGCATAGGGCTGATCTTCCTCACAAAAAAAAAAAAAAAAAAAGGTCAACACAAATGTTACTTTGGAAAACGTCAACACTCTGCTTCAGAGCAGCAGTTCTAGGCTCATTGTGGATGACCTGAACCTCAAGTTAAGTTAGAAAACATGTAAAGGATTGATTGTCAAGAAAATATTTTTCCCTATTCACGTTAATCAAATTTAACAATTATTACAATATTTACAATATCATTCTTTCATATTATTAAATACCCAAACATATAATGATCTTGTTTAAAACACTTAAATTACAATAAATAACAATCATAGGCTAGCTATCTGAAACCTCCTGGTTCTCTGAAATCGAACATGTAGCATATGACTCTCAAATCGTAGGTCAGAGACTCATTTTTATAGAACTTCAGGAGGTCCTCAGTACTGTACTTAAGAATGAGAGAATCTGGTTCCTTTCCTGGTCAAAGAGCAGAGGGCAGATTTTCATTCTTTTATGACTTTAATAATACTGTACCTACCATTTACTGAACATTGATGATGGGCTAGGCACTCTGCGAAGCACTTTTGCACAGATTAACTCATTTAATCCTCACAATATTCCCATTTTAATGATGAGGAAACTTAGGTTTAGAGAAGAAATGTGCCCAAAGTGACAGCTAAAAGTGGCAGAGGAGCAATTTGAACCCAGGTCTTTACACTCCGGAGCTGTACTCTTTAACCTCCCCTCTGCAGGATGTTTTAATACCACTGGATGAGAGGAGTTTCCATTACTCTCTAAGTTGTGTTTGTTCTTCTAATTGTGCTTTGTTCAGATACCACAGTGAAGTTGCCCTTTACCAGAGTGTTGAGCTTGATAGCATTAGCCTGAGAAGTCTTGGACGAGTTGACTCTGAACAAGACCGACCTAGCGTTGCAAACGTAAAGCTGGATGGAGGAGCTGATTTACCTCAAAAAGAATCATGAAGAGTTAGGAATTGCATGAAACGTTAATCAAAAGTTTCAGTATGTCAGCACTTGTGAAGACGATGGTGGTGGATGTCATTATGAGACACTCAATTCGTAAAACACAGGTAAAATAACTGTAAAGTCAATGTCTGTTAGGTTTTTCACACCTCTCTCCCTCTGCCTAGCCCTCTGGTCTCAGTGATGGCCCACAGGGGCCTGGGTCATGCGAGAGGGTCTTGCTAAACTTGATGCTTTCTAAGAGCGGCATCAATCGTAATGCACTGTGCTGGAAAGGACACTCAACCAGAAGCAGTATAAAAAATAAGGGTGGACAATGCTGAGTGGTGGGAATATAGTATTTCTTACATTATTATTTGCATCTTTCTGAATCTTAATTCTTGGTGCTTTTTCATATTGTGCAAATGTCTCAAAATTTTAAGAAAGAACTCTGGACTAAGAGTCAAAGCCTTGGCTTCAGATTCATGCTTTGTGACTTTGATGAGTTGTTACTCTGTGAGTCTCAGTTTTTTGCTATTAAAGATAACAATGCCCCTTTCTCCACCTCCCAGCAAAACTTACCTCTCAAGGTGACGGTCAAGATCACCTCGATGATGATTTAATATAAGTGATGAATCACATATTAAAACACTTTGTAAAATATAAAAATATTATTATTTTATATTTCATTGGTCCTGAACATTTTTGTAGTAGGATTGCCAGATAAAATATAGGACACCCAGTTAAAGTGGAATTTCAGATAAACAATAAATAATATTTCAGTACAAATATATCCCAAATATTGCATGGGACATATTTATACCAAAAAAAGTATTCATTGTTTATCCGAAATTCAAATTTAATTGGGCATTCTGTATTTTTATTTGCTAAATCTAGTAATGTTATTTTGTAATCTCCTAGAAATTTTTTAAAACCTTGAAAATGATTTCTGAAATCTATGTTTCCAGTTTTATCTTTTTAATCTTTTTAAGTTATCATATTCCAGATGCAAAAACCAAGTAACCTGTGGCATTTTAAACTATTTTCTTTTGGATCAGGAAATGAAGGGTGACAATGATAAGGTGCCTCATGTTGAAGTTAATGTAGAGATCAAGATGGCCTGGAAGTGGACCTGCCTGCCCTGCTGAACTAGACGAGGGAGCAACATGACATCCTGGCAGAACAAAGCCACAGAAAGCATGAGGCCTCGTTTAACGAAAAGGTAAACATATTACCGCCAAAAAAATCGTCCAATGTTAAACAGAGTTCGTGAAAGCTGGTACAAGGTGTTAATATTTTTATTCCACTCTAATACTTCAAAGTAAAGAACTGAATGGGCAAGTACTGGCTTCTGCTGACAAGACAAGTACCAACAGGAGTAAGATGGCTGAGCGGCCACAAACCCTCCCGACACTGGAATTAACACTTTAGGCACAACAGCCTCTGGTAAGAATGTTACCGTGTGTTGTTTCCAAAGTTCACAGTTACATGACTGGTTACAGATTTCTCAAACCATTCTACTTCTCCACAGAATAACGTCTGCACTGGAAAAATGAAAAGCAACTCTATTTAAGGCTAAGCCACAGAGGAACAGTCAATTAGATAAGAGAGCAAGACACAATGTGAAGAGTAAATAAATTTAGAACAGTTTCTTTAAATTTACAAATTAAGTTCTGTCTGGTAGTAGTTTAGATTATGTCATTCTGCTCTGTTTTTCTATATTGCAATTTTTAATGAATCATTTTTTCACTTTTATTTTCCATTCCTTCAGAAGCAATCTTTTCAATCTAGTTTGACAGAAACCGAAAGTAACTACTGTGCTCAACTTTCACAAATGCAAGAAATGATCAGCAATCTGGAGGTTCAAAAGTTCAACAAATCAGGACTCACGTAGATAGCCAGAACGGTGAATAGGAACAACTCCTGGGCGTGAAGATCTGAGTGGTGAATGGGATTGAAAAGCACCATAAACTAATGAATGGATAGTCTAGGTAAGTGATACAATAAATCACCCACTAAAACTCTAGCCCCTCTATTAAATACCCAGTTCTTAAATTGATCGTGTATACTTACTCCAACCTAGAATATCAGGCCAAGTAGCAGTTGTCATAAAGTAATTGACCCACCCCAACCAAGTCAAATCCACTATCCTCAAAACATATCCACGTCACAAAGTGTTTGCAGAACATCTCTGAAAACAACATTTTAAAATCAGCTAAACAAAAAGGAATCTGCTTCAAATCTGCTTACCCTAAAAATTCCATTCAGTTCATTTATAAGTAAGAAATGTAAGCCTATCCGAAAACAGCCCTGCAATGATAAAAAGGTTCTGTCCTCACCACTGTAATTTACATTTCTGGGACAGTCTTTGAAACCACAAAGCGAAGTTTAATTAAATATTTGGCAGGGAAAAGTAGTGGTTAAGAGTGTAGGATCTAGAAAAGACAGACCTGGTATCAATTCTGGCTCAGCTACTAATTTATTAGCTGTATTACCCTTTGCACGATATACAACCACTCTAAGCTTCAGCTTCCTCCTCTGTTTAAAAGGGTCTAGTAAGAGTACCTGCCTTATAGAGTTGTTAAGTGGGTTGCATGAGAAAATGTACATCAAGCCCTTAACACAGTGCCTGGCAGAGATTAAGTGCTAAATAAATGTTAGTGATGAAAGGTGGTGAAAGTTCTTGTTAGTCTTAATATTCTTACCCTTAGAGTAACTTGATGTCTATCAGAGTAATGGACTGTTACAGTAGTTATCCCAACATAGGTTGTGGGGTCCTCATCCTTGGATAGTTAGTTTAAAAAAAAAAAAAGCAATTCTACCAGATCATATTTAGATTGTAACATTTATATTCTAGATACATCTCACAGTTCTGTAAATATCCACTGACTTATATGTAAGCTTTAGGACTAGAAAATTCTAACCTCAGCCCCACATTTTAACCAAAATAATCTATATGGGAAATATTTTGTGAAAGACACCAAAAAAAGTTTGATAGCTTTTGAATTATGGAAATTGGAAAATCCCAAAGCAACAGAACCCCTTCATATCATAGTTTACTATTGAATTAATTCAGATATATACCATGTGTTCAAGACATAGAGTAAAAACCTGATAAAAAGCAGTTAATCTCCAGAAAGGGTGTTAGCTCCCTCTGGAAAAGCCAGTATTATGAAAGGATTAGCACCACAATTATGCATGGTGGCTAATTGCTCTGATTTGTTATTTTAATGACTGGTCTGGAGCTGAGGACAATCCTCCAAAGAGTTGGGAATCTGCAGAAACTCAAGCAGAAGGGACCCTCAAAAAGTTAGGGCACAGTCCAGCCTGGGTACAGACAAGACCTACAAGTCTGACCTCATCAAGAGCAGGAACTCTTGCCCCAAATTAATTCTTTTTCTTTTCAAATTAGTATATTTTTTCCATCACAAAAGTAATGATAATGGCTTGTCCAGTTGGAGAGAGAAAATAAAATCACTTATGTTCTTGTTACTTTTCTAAATCACAAGACTGAAAAATATAATTCCGGGTCACTTCAGGAGAGGTTTTTCTTCTTTTTTGGTGAGGAAGATTCTCTCTGAGCTAACATCTGTTGCCAATCTTCCTCTTTTTTTTTGCTTGAGGAAGATGCACCCTGAGCTAACACCTGTGCCAATCTTCCTCTATTTTGTATATGGGTCACCGCCTGAGATTCGAACCCGCAAACCCAGGCCGCAGAAGTGGAGCGTGCCAGACTTAACCACTACACCATGGGGCCAGACTCCTGGAGAGTTTTAAGAGTTACTCATTGTGTTAAAGCAAGAGCTATGAAGACATACCTGTGTTCAAATCCCAGCTGAGCTCCTTTACTGAATAATTTTGGGCAAGCTACTTCATTTTTTAGTTAAAAGCTACCTCATACAGTTGCTGTCAGGATTTGACGAGACAAAAATTCAGGTCGAGTGCTTAGCATAGGCCTTGGAACATAGAAAAGTTATAAGCTCCAGAAACTAATTATCTGAGAATTAACTTTGCAAATCTTACTTGCATATTTATTTAATAGGTTTAATCCAAGAAATTAAAAGTTCTTTGGGTGTTATCAATCTTCAGCCTCGTGAAGGGGGCCCACAGAATGGTTATGGTAAATTTTCTCCATCGCTGTTGTGTGTTACATTTAAATAATTATTTAAGTCTATTCCTTACCATTCCCACCACTGAAAAAAAGGTGATTAGAACAAAGAACTATTCTCAATTTGTTATGAAACTGACAAGTTGTTTGATTTTTTAAAATCAGGTACTTAAAAAAATCTCTAAATAGTAAAATTAAGAGCTTAACTTCCTAAGATTTTTCTGTTAAATTTAAGCACATTACATACATTCACTTAAAATCACTGGAGTGGGGGATTACTGCTTTCGTTTCATTTCACCTCAACCTCTGTGTGTACCATTTTTAATCCAAAAGTTTCTCTATTCTTCTTAGATCTGCCCAGACTCCCTAAGTAAAAATTAACAAGACTTGGTAATAAAGTTATTCTCTCATTACTAGCCATCTTTGAGACGACCAATTCTGATAAACAACCACAACTGGACCTAAAGGAATTTTCTTGAATTTATGAATGGGAGAAAAAAACAGCCACTGAATTTTTGACAATGTCCAGTTTCAAAATCTTAAAGTTGGAATCTGTAGAGGTTGGTTGGTTGGTTTGGTACTTTCAGCTTCACTACTTTTTATGAAAACTAAAAGGGATACTATGTTTCTACTTTCTGTTCTATGTCAGTAAATTCTCCTCCTAATGCAGGTAATTCATAGCAAGCAATTGTGTTTCACAAAATGAAGTTAACTTGATCAAAAGAAAGAAACCTGTGACATGCTAATGAAACTTGAAAGCTAAGTCACGTTACATTTAATCTTTAAATTACACCACATGCATGGGCTAGCTAACCAGAAAACCAACTAAAATAATCAATTCTCCTAATTTAAAAAATTGAAATTTTAGAAGTACAGATATATTTTAGCAGTTTACTAGTATCAAGATCATCTCAACAGATCCAAGACCAAAAAAGGGACCTTTAATGAACAGGAAAAGGTGAGTGCCAAAATGTTTTCTTTCTTTCTTTTTTTTTTTTTCTGTGAGGAAGATCAGCCCTCTGCTAACATCTGCCAATCCTCTTCTTTTTTTGCTGAGGAAGACTGGCCCTGGGCCAACCTCCATGCTCATCTTCCTCCACTTTATATGGGACGCCGCCACAGCATGGGTTGCCAAGCGGTGCGTCGGTGCGCGCCCGGGATCCGAACTGGCGAACCCCGGGCCACCGCTGCGGAGCACGCGCACTTAACCACTTGCGCCACCGGGCCGGCCCCAAAATGTTTTTTTAATATATATAAAGTATATATACATATATTCTAAGATATATATCTTTATACATTTTAAGATATCTTAAAATTCCTGTACAAAATCTTGGATTTCTTATCATTCTTACACAACATTCTCACATCTAGAAGTATTAATTTGTTTTAAAGCAAAATTAAATTAGTTGTCTTCAACAAGCCTATATTTAAATTTTGAACTTGCACCATTGCCAAAACATATGGAAGAAGAGTTTAGAGAACACAATAAAAGCAAAGAAAAGAAAGTGGAAGAAGGCACTGAGGTGACATGAAAACATTCGGAGAACAAGAAGTAGCTACCAGGTCCAGCAAGAGTATCAGGCACCCTCCCTTATCTAAAGGAACTTAAATGTCTTATCTCATTGGGAACAATGATAATATAGCACTTTATAAAATACTAGGTTGTACACACAGGAAATGAAAATAAAGACACAGTCATGATTAGACTAATGGTGAGAAACCTCATGAAGGAGATGGCATTTCAGCCAAAGCTGGGAGTTGAGGTAGAATGATTTGAATAAGCAACAAAGTGGAAGAAGGACATTCTGAACCAAGAGCAACAAACAAATGCCTTCAAATGGAATAAAGTATAGTGTCTTGGCCAAGATTAGAAAGAAAAGATTGCTTATAATTAAAGGATTTTTTTAATGAAATGTTAACATATTTTTTCATTGGGTCATGGATTATTATTATTCTTATACATATTTTAATATTTACTATTATTATTATCCATATTTTACAGGGTAGTAAAATGAGACACAGAAAGGCTGAGTGTCTTGCCCAAGGCCACATAATTACTTTATGAGGAGAATGCAGCACTCCTTCCACTCCGCCAGCCTTACTCACCCAGTGCAGGGAGCACAAGGTTGGACAGAGAGAGTAGGGGAAGGTTATTCAAAAGACTCAATGCATCCACAAGAGAAATCCATTGTAGGTGCTTGAGTATGTCGATGAAGCGATGACACTACTTTTTCAAGAACATTAATCTTTCAGCAGTAAATAGAACAGATCTTAAGAAACATAGCACTGAGCCAAGAAAACCACTTCAGAAGCTGGTGATGTAATCCATGAGAGAAGTGGTGAAAGCCTGGGTTAGGGAAGTTGCAGTGGGACTAGACAAAAAGAAACAAATACATCAG